TAATTTTAGTTTTAGAGGTAGGACAAGAAATTAATTGCAAGATAGAGATTGGAGACGACAATCCTTGGAAACCCATGGCTTTCACCGAAGTGGTAATAAATAAAGTATGTGGAATGCAAGTTTAGCAAGATTCAGAATAGCTGTATCTTATAGGTAATTATTTGATAACATACAATACCACAAGCTACTCATTTTAAGTATCTTGGGTACATACCGAGTTATGAGGAGATAGAGGGTGATGTTGATCACCAGATCTAGCAGGGTAGATGAAATGGAGGGATGCTTGGATGTGACTCGTGATAGAAGAGATAGTATTAGGAACACAACCATTGGATAGAATTCCCATTATGTAAAAAAAATGGTAAAGCCTCAGCTTTAGATGGTTTGGGCTTGTTTGGAGAAAATCTGCACGAACAACATTAAGGGGAGCTGACTGGATGGGAGATAGTCCAACAGTAGGTGGTAGGGATATGCTAAAGAAAACTGTAGGTCAAACCTTAAGAGGAACTTAGAGGTAGCTGGTTCGGCTCTGTGCATAGTATAGGAGAGAAATCTATGGCATCATAAGACTAATGTAGTTGACCGTTCCTAATGGAAAAGACTAGATTGTCATTGTTGTTGTATGCATGAAAGTAATGGTTTTTCTTATTCTTATATATTTAAAAGTTTATGTTATAGACCAAGTTACCAAAGGCTTGTGTGGCTATAAATGTCTGGCAAGCCCAAAATATAAATGGTACTTGTTGGATGGCATTGTAGTGACTTTAATTTAAGCAAGGGAATTGTTTTAATAGATGTAAATTCACTACACAGACATAAAGATGTGTAAATAATGTATTATGTAAGTTTCAAATTTTATTCTGCAGTGTTTCTTTTTCAGTGTTTTTCACTAAGAAAAAGCTGAATGACCATTGTACCCTGTAAAACATAAATTTGAAGGCTGACTGAATTGGAGCTGTCACATTACGATCCTTACCACTTGGCTGTAAAAGGTCACATCTACAGCATTGATTCTCTTAGAGTTGTCTCAATGCATGAAATTTGGCCTACCTCTGCAGCAGTAATGAATGGTCCACATTCCACATGCTTTCTGGGATAGATTGCTCTTGCTTTTCTAGGTTGAAAGTGAAAAGAAAGAAATTACGTTATATCCCCAAAAACTATGATACCAGAGGAATACAAAATGAATAGACTGGGATAGATGTATTCACTCATGCATTTTCCATTTATGTGGGATTCCTTGGAATGCAAACTATGATTTCTGGGGTCTGCTCGATGATTTTTGCAGTCATGATAATACATTTGGGTGCCTCTTTTTAGGATTGCTGATGCTGAGGAAAACTTAGGTGAGAGTGAAGTTCGGGAGGCTCACTTGGCAAAATCCCTGTTTTTCATCCGAATTGGGGATAAGGTATATAACTATTATGACCTGCTTATTTCACTTGTGCTACTTGAATTGAATTTTGGTAACACTTTTTTTATGTACCAGGAGAAAGCCTTGGAGCATCTCAAGATAACAGAAACCAAGACAGTAGCAGTTGGCCAGAAGATGGACCTGGTGTTTTATACTTTGCAGCTTGGTTTCTTTGACATGGATTTTGATCTCATTTCCAAAAGCATTGACAAAGCCAAAAAGTAATGTTTTGAATTCAAACTTGTGCTGTTATGCTCTCTGCCATATTTTCCAGTTAAGAGTTGTTTTTCTAACTCTTTGCAACATGTGGTGGCAGTTTGTTTGAAGAAGGTGGTGATTGGGAAAGGAAGAATAGACTGAAAGTGTACGAAGGCCTGTATTGCATGTCCACTCGAAATTTCAAGAAGGCTGCCAAGTTGTTTTTAGATTCTATTTCAACCTTTACAACATATGAACTCTTTCCTTATGATACCTTCATATTTTATACGGTTTTGACCAGCATCATATCGTTGGATAGAGTTTCCTTAAAGCAAAAGGTATGTTGATTCTTTCTTGTTTACACTAATTGTCCTTTTCTTTTTACTGTGTATTATAAATTATTAACAAGTTCATTTGCATCAGGTGGTAGATGCTCCAGAGATCTTGACAGTGATTGGAAAAATCCCATATCTTTCAGAGTTTTTGAACTCCTTGTATGATTGCCGATACAAGTCTTTCTTCTCAGCATTTGGTGAGCTGACATCTGTCAAATCTCAGTAACTTTGAAAGTTTGATGCCTCAGTGGAGATACTTTGACTATGCATGAATTATTTTGCGATATAATTTAAGAATTTGTGGATATCATCCATGTTGAATAAGAACTTCAATGTGCCGATGGATAATTACTTCGTATCTGTTTGGACCCATTATTAATAGTATTGTTTCATTTTTAAATTTATTTCAGCTGGCCTGACCGAGCAGATTAAGTTGGACCGCTATCTGCATCCCCACTTCCGATATTACATGAGGGAGGTCAGAACTGTTGTGTACTCCCAATTTTTGGAATCTTACAAAAGTGTGACAATTGAAGCCATGGCCAAAGCTTTTGGAGTGACAGTGGATTTCATTGATCTGTAAGTAAATGCATTTTACAAACTCAATTTTGGTTCAGTACTTGTTTAGTTTTTAGATGCAACGGAAAGTTACTAATTACAGTATGTGCTTCCAGGGAGCTATCCCGTTTTATTGCAGCAGGGAAACTTCACTGTAAGATTGATAAGGTTGCTGGTGTTCTTGAAACTAATCGCCCTGATGCCAAGAATGCCCTTTACCAAGCAACCATTAAGCAAGGAGACTTCCTATTGAATCGGATTCAGAAGTTGTCACGTGTTATAGATCTTTAGGCTATCTCTTGCATTTTAGATTCAAAGTTTATTGGAAAGGCAGGGATAATGACATTTTTAAATCTGAAGGACATCCTGTTGAATTCATTTCACTATGAGGGTGTGAGGCATGATATTTCTGTAGTTCTCATTTGATTTTGGTTCAGTAATGAACAGTCGAATTTATCGAATTTAAAATTGTCAATCAGTATTCAATTATTTTGGTGATGAATATATTCAATTGTATGACTGGCCGTTTCGGCATGCACCCCAGACGCTTGATCATTTTGCTTGCTTGTAAAGCACACGACCCTTTCATTCCGTTACCCCATTTTCCCCTACTTTTGCTAGGTTGAAACAGGACATTGTACCCTATATTACCAACTCAGTGTGTCGCGAGATAAACAGCACTAGGTAAGCTGCTCTTATTATCACCGAGTTCCCTTCTGTTTGTTTTCTTCTTCTTAATGTTTCCCTACAGATAGAATCAGGTTAAGGCTACCATGCCAGTGGGTTATGTGTTTTGAACTATGTAATTCAAGATGATCTTGTTTACTTTTACGATTGCTCTAAAAAAAGTGAAAGTTATTTCGAATGAAAATTGCTTTGGTGAAATTATTAACTCAATAATTTTTAAAGGTTAATAACAATTTTTTTGGAACTAAATGTAAAGAATTAACTTGAAGGTGTTTTATATATTATAAAAAAATTAATTATTTTCTTAAGAATGAAATGATATTAGCATTTTAGAATGGAGTACCAATAAGATGTGACATTGTTAGCTGATGGTGTATCATTTTAAGTATCTGACTGAAGATTCAAAATTAGGTTTCTTTTTATGAAAAATTAATATTAAGTTTGCACGAGCAGTAGATGCATTAAATAATGTGAATATTCTGTTTGTTATATGGTGCTTTCCTATCAGTTCATGAAAGAAAACAATTTAAAATTATCTAAGAATCAACAATCTGTGCATAATCAAATGAAAAATGACTGATCACTCATCAAAAGGTGCATCATGAACTTATAAATGAAATATGTACTCTTATCCAATATAAAAACATAGTCATGTTCTAAAACAAGTATAAAAACATAGTTATGCTATAAAACAAGTATAAAAACATAGTTATGCTATAAAACAAGTAGTTAAGTATAAAAACTAGATGATAATTTAAGATTTCTATCTGATTATACATTTGGTGATACTATAATTACATTGGATACATTTTCTGAGAATTCTACTCAAATACGAAAAAATCGTAAAAAGACAAAGACAAATTGGGAAAGTCATTGCAAGAGAAACTTGTAAGCTTGCAAAGAATAGTTTTTTAATAAGTCTATAGACACGTAAGACCTACTTGAGAAGATTAGGAGGGTTGTATTTCCAAAAGCGAAAATTCTTAATTATTCTATAAACAAAGTGTGCTCTAAGCTTACCTGTAAAACTCTATCTTCCAAATATAGTTGAATGAATATCAAAATTAGTGCTAAATTGTGCGTATCTCTCTTTAAGATATTGAAAGCTAATTAGCGAATCTTATCCAAAATCTATAATAGTGTGTTTTAGTTAAGTTCAAAGAGACTTATTCAAAAGATATTTCCACTTTTATCTGGAAAACAAGTAAAAAACTACTTTGACAGACTTACGAGTAACATGTTAAAATAGTAATATTAGTTGATTTAATTATATCAAAACATATTTGGTTAATTTAGAACTAAATATAGTCTAATCATACAAATGAAATTATATTAAAATCTTGGTGTTTTTATCTCTTGTCTAATTTGTCGTTAAACTTGTTTAAGGATGAATTTATTTTATATCACAGAAATATCAAATGAAGTTTAAATACGACAAACAGTTTTAATTTACAAAACCCGACATCCCTTCTCAGTTTTTGTTCTTTACAGCACAAACTAATCCATCAGAAGAGGTTTACAAACATCAAGAAATTAATAAAACATAAGACATAATTAAAAAATGTATATTTTTGTTAAAAATATCTAAAACCATTTTTAAAACAATTTAAAGCAATTTTGAATTCTTTATGTTTGTTTCAGTTCATTGAATTTTCCACTAGGTGAGTGTGTAGAGTGTACATATTTACTACATCAATCCATCAGATTTATTATAGTTAATTTATAGAGAAAAAAAACTTAGAAGTGTTACATATTTATTAAGCAAATTAGTATAGAGGTGAGAAATGAAATGAGGAGGAGTAATTATCGAGAGGAGTCAGGTTTCCGACAGCTTTAGCCGTTGTTTTTGAGTGTGACAAAAACCGGGCTTGAAAGCAAGGTATATAAAAAAAGCGAGTGTTGTTGTATCCATATACTAGTTTTATGGTTTATGAGCCACACACTCGACACTGAGTTCAAAAGGCAGCAATATATTTTATTTTATATGCGACATCGTACTCGTGGACGCATACCATGTTACCTCCCGTTCCTGTTCCTATTGCTATTGATATCAACGCTATAAAAGATAAGCTCTCCTTTCAGTTGCGACCTTTGCAACGTTCTTTCCAATTCTGGGTTCGAGCCATTGACATTTACACCGGATACAAGGTCTCTCTTTCTTTCTCTCTCTCTCTTGTATTCATTAATATGCTTTGTGTTTTCTTCTGTTTTCGCTCCAATTGCAATGCTCATTCATTGTTTAGGTGTTTCAAGTGAGAGTCAATTTCGTCAAAGATGTGCAGAAGCAGGAAGCAATGTGGGAACGACAGCACGAGCTTGCTGCCGATAAGATTTTTGCCTTGTGCTCTGATCTCGGTGGTTTCTTCCTCAAGGTGTCCCACATTTCGAAATCTATTTATTGTTTTTNTGGGTGCCTCTTTTTAGGATTGCTGATGCTGAGGAAAACTTAGGTGAGAGTGAAGTTCGGGAGGCTCACTTGGCAAAATCCCTGTTTTTCATCCGAATTGGGGATAAGGTATATAACTATTATGACCTGCTTATTTCACTTGTGCTACTTGAATTGAATTTTGGTAACACTTTTTTTATGTACCAGGAGAAAGCCTTGGAGCATCTCAAGATAACAGAAACCAAGACAGTAGCAGTTGGCCAGAAGATGGACCTGGTGTTTTATACTTTGCAGCTTGGTTTCTTTGACATGGATTTTGATCTCATTTCCAAAAGCATTGACAAAGCCAAAAAGTAATGTTTTGAATTCAAACTTGTGCTGTTATGCTCTCTGCCATATTTTCCAGTTAAGAGTTGTTTTTCTAACTCTTTGCAACATGTGGTGGCAGTTTGTTTGAAGAAGGTGGTGATTGGGAAAGGAAGAATAGACTGAAAGTGTACGAAGGCCTGTATTGCATGTCCACTCGAAATTTCAAGAAGGCTGCCAAGTTGTTTTTAGATTCTATTTCAACCTTTACAACATATGAACTCTTTCCTTATGATACCTTCATATTTTATACGGTTTTGACCAGCATCATATCGTTGGATAGAGTTTCCTTAAAGCAAAAGGTATGTTGATTCTTTCTTGTTTACACTAATTGTCCTTTTCTTTTTACTGTGTATTATAAATTATTAACAAGTTCATTTGCATCAGGTGGTAGATGCTCCAGAGATCTTGACAGTGATTGGAAAAATCCCATATCTTTCAGAGTTTTTGAACTCCTTGTATGATTGCCGATACAAGTCTTTCTTCTCAGCATTTGGTGAGCAGACATCTGTCAAATCTCAGTAACTTTGAAAGTTTGATGCCTCAGTGGAGAAACTTTGACTATGCATGAATTATTTTGCGATATAATTTAAGAATTTGTGGATATCATCCATGTTGAATAAGAACTTCAATGTGCCGATGGATAATAACTTCGTATCTGTTTGGACCCATTATTAATAGTATTGTTTCATTTTTAAATTTATTTCAGCTGGCCTGACCGAGCAGATTAAGTTGGACCGCTATCTGCATCCCCACTTCCGATATTACATGAGGGAGGTCAGAACTGTTGTGTACTCCCAATTTTTGGAATCTTACAAAAGTGTGACAATTGAAGCCATGGCCAAAGCTTTTGGAGTGACAGTGGATTTCATTGATCTGTAAGTAAATGCATTTTACAAACGCAATTTTGGTTCAGTACTTGTTTAGTTTTTAGATGCAACGGAAAGTTACTAATTACAGTATGTGCTTCCAGGGAGCTATCCCGTTTTATTGCAGCAGGGAAACTTCACTGTAAGATTGATAAGGTTGCTGGTGTTCTTGAAACTAATCGCCCTGATGCCAAGAATGCCCTTTACCAAGCAACCATTAAGCAAGGAGACTTCCTATTGAATCGGATTCAGAAGTTGTCACGTGTTATAGATCTTTAGGCTATCTCTTGCATTTTAGATTCAAAGTTTATTGGAAAGGCAGGGATAATGACATTTTTAAATCTGAAGGACATCCTGTTGAATTCATTTCACTATGAGGGTGTGAGGCATGATATTTCTGTAGTTCTCATTTGATTTTGGTTCAGTAATGAACAGTCGAATTTATCGAATTTAAAATTGTCAATCAGTATTCAATTATTTTGGTGATGAATATATTCAATTGTATGACTGGCCGTTTCGGCATGCACCCCAGACGCTTGATCATTTTGCTTGCTTGTAAAGCACACGACCCTTTCATTCCGTTACCCCATTTTCCCCTACTTTTGCTAGGTTGAAACAGGACATTGTACCCTATATTACCAACTCAGTGTGTCGCGAGATAAACAGCACTAGGTAAGCTGCTCTTATTATCACCGAGTTCCCTTCTGTTTGTTTTCTTCTTCTTAATGTTTCCCTACAGATAGAATCAGGTTAAGGCTACCATGCCAGTGGGTTATGTGTTTTGAACTATGTAATTCAAGATGATCTTGTTTACTTTTACGATTGCTCTAAAAAAAGTGAAAGTTATTTCGAATGAAAATTGCTTTGGTGAAATTATTAACTCAATAATTTTTAAAGGTTAATAACAATTTTTTTGGAACTAAATGTAAAGAATTAACTTGAAGGTGTTTTATATATTATAAAAAAATTAATTATTTTCTTAAGAATGAAATGATATTAGCATTTTAGAATGGAGTACCAATAAGATGTGACATTGTTAGCTGATGGTGTATCATTTTAAGTATCTGACTGAAGATTCAAAATTAGGTTTCTTTTTATGAAAAATTAATATTAAGTTTGCACGAGCAGTAGATGCATTAAATAATGTGAATATTCTGTTTGTTATATGGTGCTTTCCTATCAGTTCATGAAAGAAAACAATTTAAAATTATCTAAGAATCAACAATCTGTGCATAATCAAATGAAAAATGACTGATCACTCATCAAAAGGTGCATCATGAACTTATAAATGAAATATGTACTCTTATCCAATATAAAAACATAGTCATGTTCTAAAACAAGTATAAAAACATAGTTATGCTATAAAACAAGTATAAAAACATAGTTATGCTATAAAACAAGTAGTTAAGTATAAAAACTAGATGATAATTTAAGATTTCTATCTGATTATACATTTGGTGATACTATAATTACATTGGATACATTTTCTGAGAATTCTACTCAAATACGAAAAAATCGTAAAAAGACAAAGACAAATTGGGAAAGTCATTGCAAGAGAAACTTGTAAGCTTGCAAAGAATAGTTTTTTAATAAGTCTATAGACACGTAAGACCTACTTGAGAAGATTAGGAGGGTTGTATTTCCAAAAGCGAAAATTCTTAATTATTCTATAAACAAAGTGTGCTCTAAGCTTACCTGTAAAACTCTATCTTCCAAATATAGTTGAATGAATATCAAAATTAGTGCTAAATTGTGCGTATCTCTCTTTAAGATATTGAAAGCTAATTAGCGAATCTTATCCAAAATCTATAATAGTGTGTTTTAGTTAAGTTCAAAGAGACTTATTCAAAAGATATTTCCACTTTTATCTGGAAAACAAGTAAAAAACTACTTTGACAGACTTACGAGTAACATGTTAAAATAGTAATATTAGTTGATTTAATTATATCAAAACATATTTGGTTAATTTAGAACTAAATATAGTCTAATCATACAAATGAAATTATATTAAAATCTTGGTGTTTTTATCTCTTGTCTAATTTGTCGTTAAACTTGTTTAAGGATGAATTTATTTTATATCACAGAAATATCAAATGAAGTTTAAATACGACAAACAGTTTTAATTTACAAAACCCGACATCCCTTCTCAGTTTTTGTTCTTTACAGCACAAACTAATCCATCAGAAGAGGTTTACAAACATCAAGAAATTAATAAAACATAAGACATAATTAAAAAATGTATATTTTTGTTAAAAATATCTAAAACCATTTTTAAAACAATTTAAAGCAATTTTGAATTCTTTATGTTTGTTTCAGTTCATTGAATTTTCCACTAGGTGAGTGTGTAGAGTGTACATATTTACTACATCAATCCATCAGATTTATTATAGTTAATTTATAGAGAAAAAAAACTTAGAAGTGTTACATATTTATTAAGCAAATTAGTATAGAGGTGAGAAATGAAATGAGGAGGAGTAATTATCGAGAGGAGTCAGGTTTCCGACAGCTTTAGCCGTTGTTTTTGAGTGTGACAAAAACCGGGCTTGAAAGCAAGGTATATAAAAAAAGCGAGTGTTGTTGTATCCATATACTAGTTTTATGGTTTATGAGCCACACACTCGACACTGAGTTCAAAAGGCAGCAATATATTTTATTTTATATGCGACATCGTACTCGTGGACGCATACCATGTTACCTCCCGTTCCTGTTCCTATTGCTATTGATATCAACGCTATAAAAGATAAGCTCTCCTTTCAGTTGCGACCTTTGCAACGTTCTTTCCAATTCTGGGTTCGAGCCATTGACATTTACACCGGATACAAGGTCTCTCTTTCTTTCTCTCTCTCTCTTGTATTCATTAATATGCTTTGTGTTTTCTTCTGTTTTCGCTCCAATTGCAATGCTCATTCATTGTTTAGGTGTTTCAAGTGAGAGTCAATTTCGTCAAAGATGTGCAGAAGCAGGAAGCAATGTGGGAACGACAGCACGAGCTTGCTGCCGATAAGATTTTTGCCTTGTGCTCTGATCTCGGTGGTTTCTTCCTCAAGGTGTCCCACATTTCGAAATCTATTTATTGTTTTTTCTTTCTCATTCCTCTTTTTTCAGTTTTATGTGTTCGGGGTATTTCACTCCTTAATCCTTTTTCTAATCGATTGGGTTTTCATTTATGGAGGGATTTTATTACTTGGCATTTTGGTTTTTGCATGGCCTTATTTTGGTTGATCATCCTATGGACTTGATGTGATGTTGGGTATGCTACAGATTGCCCAAATTATAGGGAAGCCTGATTTGGCTCCGGCTGCATGGGTGAAAAGACTTGTTACGCTGTGTGATAGGGCTCCTCCTACCCCTTTTGATGTGATGAAACTAGTTTTGGAGAACGAGCTGGAACAGGGTATTGATGATGTGTTCGAGAGGTTCGATGTTGAACCCCTAGGTTCTGCTTCAATTGCTCAGGTCGGTTTGAAACTTCTGGCAAGCTATCTTATTTTCATTGCCCTTAATAATTGGCACCATTTTGAATTGTGGTAGTATTCTTTTACCTTCAAGATAAAGTGTTTGTGCATCATTCAACTGATCTATTAGAAAAATCGTTATGGATAACAGTTTATTTTGCTATTGTTGGCTGTGGGAGGATCAGCTGCTGCTACTCAGGTCCCTGGAGGGGTCTGTGACTAGCTAGCTACCCATGGGGATTATAGGTACTTGTGAGGCTTCCCCAAGTGTTTCCAACACCTTAGTTATATCAGAAACATATTGTAACTTGTAAGGTTCAAAGGTTTTGGGGACAGGTGATACTTTGGGAAGGGGTATGCAGTATGCACATGCTTTGCAATGATTTTAGTGAGATTTCCTGTGAAAGTATAAGAAGATAATGTGAGTTCCTTCTGTTATGAGAGAATATTTTAGATTGGATTCATTCGCTGTGTACTGGGTTGCTTGTCTTCTGTGTGATGATTGATCAGTTGACGTGATACCAGGTTTAGCTAGTCCTCTTCGTAAAAGTCAGGTTTCATATGGCTAGCATGATGGTAAGGTGGAACAACAACAATATCAATATCAAAAGATGATTGAATTTGTTTATCCAATTCTAACTTATACTAAAATTTATCGTTTTTTTGCAATTATAATGATTTTTCATTTTTTGTTAAGAAAGAGTCTTTGAGATTGGGAACAGTTTCTAAGAATAAAAGGTCCATAATAACTATTTGAAAATCCCTGCACGATCCTTTATTTCTTACTACAAACAAGTTAATAATCAATAAATACGCTTATAGAAATAACTGTCCTAAACTGCCCCATCCTATGAAATAAAAGCCATAGAAAACTGTCCATAAGAAGTACAAATTAGTTAATATGTTTACAAAAATTACGAATCTATAATGTCCTCCTAAGAAATAGTAGTTATAGAACTATTAACGCTTATCTGCCACAATAATAACAGGTGGCAGCGGTAACATCCAAACATGCTATAGTATATGCTACCTAAGCATAGTATTATCCACACATGCATAATAATTGACAGCGACACTTTATCCATCATTTGCCATTGCTGATAAACCTTATAAAATAGACACTACCATAGCATTAAGTTTACCACAGCTAGTGACTCTCAAAGTTAGAGTTGGTTCAGTAAGCATCCACTATCCTTGCTTCGGTGTTTATTTACTTTAAGTGAATAATTGATGTTAATCAAGGGTTAATTACGTTGTATGTCCAGGAAATTAAACAACTTTTCCATGTTTGCTATTCTTAAACTATCTTTATTCTTCTACTTATTATTTAAATTTCTATTTCGTTTTGCCAATGCGTTCTGTCTGGTTGGTGGCAGAATAATTTTGAAGAGTAAAAACCTTTTTTGGTATGCATCANGAGTGTTGTTGTATCCATATACTAGTTTTATGGTTTATGAGCCACACACTCGACACTGAGTTCAAAAGGCAGCAATATATTTTATTTTATATGCGACATCGTACTCGTGGACGCATACCATGTTACCTCCCGTTCCTGTTCCTATTGCTATTGATATCAACGCTATAAAAGATAAGCTCTCCTTTCAGTTGCGACCTTTGCAACGTTCTTTCCAATTCTGGGTTCGAGCCATTGACATTTACACCGGATACAAGGTCTCTCTTTCTTTCTCTCTCTCTCTTGTATTCATTAATATGCTTTGTGTTTTCTTCTGTTTTCGCTCCAATTGCAATGTTCATTCATTGTTTAGGTGTTTCAAGTGAGAGTCAATTTCGTCAAAGATGTGCAGAAGCAGGAAGCAATGTGGGAACGACAGCACGAGCTTGCTGCCGATAAGATTTTTGCCTTGTGCTCTGATCTCGGTGGTTTCTTCCTCAAGGTGTCCCACATTTCGAAATCTATTTATTGTTTTTTCTTTCTCATTCCTCTTTTTTCAGTTTTATGTGTTCGGGGTATTTCACTCCTTAATCCTTTTTCTAATCGATTGGGTTTTCATTTATGGAGGGATTTTATTACTTGGCATTTTGGTTTTTGCATGGCCTTATTTTGGTTGATCATCCTATGGACTTGATGTGATGTTGGGTATGCTACAGATTGCCCAAATTATAGGGAAGCCTGATTTGGCTCCGGCTGCATGGGTGAAAAGACTTGTTACGCTGTGTGATAGGGCTCCTCCTACCCCTTTTGATGTGATGAAACTAGTTTTGGAGAACGAGCTGGAACAGGGTATTGATGATGTGTTCGAGAGGTTCGATGTTGAACCCCTAGGTTCTGCTTCAATTGCTCAGGTCGGTTTGAAACTTCTGGCAAGCTATCTTATTTTCATTGCCCTTAATAATTGGCACCATTTTGAATTGTGGTAGTATTCTTTTACCTTCAAGATAAAGTGTTTGTGCATCATTCAACTGATCTATTAGAAAAATCGTTATGGATAACAGTTTATTTTGCTATTGTTGGCTGTGGGAGGATCAGCTGCTGCTACTCAGGTCCCTGGAGGGGTCTGTGACTAGCTAGCTACCCATGGGGATTATAGGTACTTGTGAGGCTTCCCCAAGTGTTTCCAACACCTTAGTTATATCAGAAACATATTGTAACTTGTAAGGTTCAAAGGTTTTGGGGACAGGTGATACTTTGGGAAGGGGTATGCAGTATGCACATGCTTTGCAATGATTTTAGTGAGATTTCCTGTGAAAGTATAAGAAGATAATGTGAGTTCCTTCTGTTATGAGAGAATATTTTAGATTGGATTCATTCGCTGTGTACTGGGTTGCTTGTCTTCTGTGTGATGATTGATCAGTTGACGTGATACCAGGTTTAGCTAGTCCTCTTCGTAAAAGTCAGGTTTCATATGGCTAGCATGATGGTAAGGTGGAACAACAACAATATCAATATCAAAAGATGATTGAATTTGTTTATCCAATTCTAACTTATACTAAAATTTATCGTTTTTTTGCAATTATAATGATTTTTCATTTTTTGTTAAGAAAGAGTCTTTGAGATTGGGAACAGTTTCTAAGAATAAAAGGTCCATAATAACTATTTGAAAATCCCTGCACGATCCTTTATTTCTTACTACAAACAAGTTAATAATCAATAAATACGCTTATAGAAATAACTGTCCTAAACTGCCCCATCCTATGAAATAAAAGCCATAGAAAACTGTCCATAAGAAGTACAAATTAGTTAATATGTTTACAAAAATTACGAATCTATAATGTCCTCCTAAGAAATAGTAGTTATAGAACTATTAACGCTTATCTGCCACAATAATAACAGGTGGCAGCGGTAACATCCAAACATGCTATAGTATATGCTACCTAAGCATAGTATTATCCACACATGCATAATAATTGACAGCGACACTTTATCCATCATTTGCCATTGCTGATAAACCTTATAAAATAGACACTACCATAGCATTAAGTTTACCACAGCTAGTGACTCTCAAAGTTAGAGTTGGTTCAGTAAGCATCCACTATCCTTGCTTCGGTGTTTATTTACTTTAAGTGAATAATTGATGTTAATCAAGGGTTAATTACGTTGTATGTCCAGGAAATTAAACAACTTTTCCATGTTTGCTATTCTTAAACTATCTTTATTCTTCTACTTATTATTTAAATTTCTATTTCGTTTTGCCAATGCGTTCTGTCTGGTTGGTGGCAGAATAATTTTGAAGAGTAAAAACCTTTTTTGGTATGCATCATCGTATATTTTCAAGTATTGTAAAAGCTAAAAATACTTGCTTTGCTTTGCTTCTTGAGGTTCATATTAATGTCCATATCTCATATAAGCCCTCAGAAGGGTGATAGTCAGTAAAAAAGGTGTATTTGCAACAGTCTTGAATTATATATTAGGATTTAGTATCATGTAACTGACAGATGTATTGTGGTCATATACTAGGTTCATAGAGCAAGACTGAAAGGTGATACAAGTGATGTTGTCGTCAAGGTAAATGAATCAAATAAGCCCAATGGATTTGATTAACCAGTAAATCTCTGATTCTGATTTCTTTTTTGTATAATAGGTTCAACATCCAGGAATTCAGGATCTGATGATGACAGATATCCATAACTTGCAAGCGTTTGCACTGTACATGCAAAAGACAGATATCAAATTTGATCTATATTCAGTGACTAAGGAGATGGAAAAACAGGTGGAATTAATTTCTTTGTTAGATTTCTTCTTTAATCTATGTGGATTATTTGAATTCCACATGTTTTCTTCCCCTGTTTTATGGATTTGTTTTTCAATTACAGATTTATGTAGAAGTTCCTATTAAGAATAAAATGTACTGTCTACCTTCATTATGTGTGAAATGTATGACTGATAGGTTTAGGAATTTCGATACAATTTATACTAGAAACATGCAATCAAGTGGTAAGGAAGTTCCCAACAATCAAGTGGTAAGGAAGTTCCCAACATATCTAACCTCTTACCCAATTGTTTTGTGTTTTATAATGAGTTACATTAAATATTTTTTGCCAAGGGCAGGAAGTCATCATTCTTACAGAGGTATCTTCGAGTATGTTGTGATTAAATCTCATAGTGAATCTTTATGAATGTGGCGATTGTATTGCTAGAGTGAACGTTCATTTAATTATTGATTCTTTCCCCCGCTTCCCGCTTCCCCCCCTCCCCCCTTTTGATTATTGATTCTTTCCTTAATTGTGTTACTAAGGTTTTGAGAGGAAAATAGGTATTTATGCTTTATTTGGCTTTTGTTTGTTTTTTCTACTAATAGTTGCTGAAAAACAACTTGTTATTTCTCTAAAGAAATCTGAACAATACAGGACTAAAAGTGTTTTATCTATAAAGTATCAAGTTTTGATTGAGAAAACACACTGGCCTACCCCCTTCTACTTCAGTTGATTGTCTTTGAATTCTGTATAAATTTTGTTTCTTTTCTATGCTTATCGCATCATAGTTATGTTAATATTGAGGCTCTTCCTGCAATTAATCATGAAAAGTTCTGAACATCTACCTGTTGATTTGTGACATTTTAGATTGGATATGAATTTGATTTCATGAGGGAGGCTGATGCGATGGTAAAGATAAGAAAGTTCTTGTATGAGAATAACAAAAAGACTCCTGTTTTGGTGCCACGAGTAATACGAGATATGGTTACCAGGTATATTATGTAGTCCAGCATCTTACATAATCTTGATAATATAGTTTAGTAATGGACAATAATGCTTAGCTCCCTATATGTTTTTAGGGAAAAGTGGCAGCTATTTATTCATTTGACTTAATTGTATGGCTGTTTTAGAAATGTTTGTAGTTTCTTAGTTTCTGAAGTCTAAATTTGCATGTTAAATGTCAGTTAGTGCTAGCTTTACTAATTTCTTTGTGTTGTCTAGTGAATTTTTTGGCGAAATGGTTTTGCCAATTGAATAATTTAGGTAACTAGTTTTTTTCGACTAAATATTAAAAGTGGAAACAGTAGAAAAACATGAATGGTGGTACACTGCAAGTTGTGCAGTATCGGGATCTATAATTACGTACCATGCTTCAAGCATTCCATCGATCACTTTTTAGCTTTGTATACCAACCATGGTATGTTATGAAAAGACCCTTTATTGATAAAAAGCAAGGTTGAACTGAAAACAATAAAGAAAAAATATCCACTATAGAAAAATATTTTTCCTAGATTACACATTCGATCTTGATCAAATAGCCAGGAACAGTACGATACTATACACACACACACACACATATATTTGCTTGGTTAAACTTTTTAAGACGTATTGGTTCATATGCATATTGGTTGTGATGAGCTTTTTAAGTAACGAGGAACTTTTTGGATAGTACAGGAGGGTCCTAGTCATGGAATATATTGATGGGGTTCCAATAATGAACCTTGGTGATGAAATAGCAAAGAGAGGCATAAATCCTCGTGGTAAGGTTGCGGCAGCAGCAAAGCAGTAAGTTCCTGAGCTATATATTCTAAAGCTAGTCTTTTAAACCACACTTCTACGTTCATAGCTTATAAATTCTGACCTATGGCATTTGCTTTTAGCTCTTGTCTATTTTCAGTCATCGAGGTAAATTTATTCATTTGTTCGATGGTGTCTTTGTTTTTACGTTGAAAAAGAAATTTGAGAAGGAAAGTAAAACATGGGGTAAGGACACAATGTTCTCCAAAAGAAAAAGGACAAGCATAAACAAGAATACAATTAAGATTGCAGTACAGTGGTAGTCACACTTAACATGAAAAATGGCCACTCCTCGAATAAATTATGAAAAGAATGTCATATTATAAACCTAATCCTATCCCGTAATGAGTTCGAGAGAGCAACATACCCTTAAAGATGTAAGCATTCAGCTCCAACTAAATGCACCAATGCTCAGTTTGCATGTCTTCTGCCAAAACCTCTATTACAAATTATCAAATCTTTGTCGTTTAGCAACATAGCTGAATAGAACAAATGAAAGTGCCTTGCTCGTTTTTTTTTTTTTTTTTGCATAAAAACATGTCAATTTTATATGATATCTTTAAACTTCTACTGAAAAAGGGAATACAAAAAAATGGTTAGAACAACCTGGCATTGATTTCCTGCAACTATTTTTTGTTCCATGACCAAGTGTTGTATGTACTATGATGCTTAAATACATCTTATGGTGAAGAATCAATTAACAAATTGTAATACTAAGACAGCTTTGATAAATCTCACTCATTCCACTTTCCACATGTTTGGTTGTGGTCCTGCTTTTCTTGGGGTGTGGGGGGGCGGGGGGGTTGGTGTAAACAAATGTCAGAACCAGATAACAAGGGGATAGTTAAGTTTTCAACGACACATCTTTTTCTGGAAGATTTATAATATAGACGATTTTTATTCATGTAATTTTCGTAAGTGTATTACACTATTAACTTTCTTATAAAAATGCAGGAAAATTCTTCAAAGCTTGACTCTAGCATATGGTCAAATGATTTTAAAAAGTGGATTCTTCCATGCAGATCCTCATCCAGGGAACATCCTGATTTGTAAAGGATCAGAGGCAAGTCATAAAATGTATTTCTTTTCTAATATCTCTTTTTAGTTTTATTTAATCTCTCTTCAGGTGAATCCTACTGTTATTTTAGAGATGTTTTAATCAAGAGGAATTTGATGTGGAAATGACCGTAATAGTGGCTAGAATATTGAAAATTACTTTTCAACATAGATGCATAAACTAAATTTTCTTTGTTTTATTTTTTTAACTTTTAACCATCCTAATGTTAGTGACTTCCCTCAATTCAGGTTGCCTTGCTAGACTACGGGCAGGTGAAGGATCTCCCGGAACAGTTGAGGCTTGGCTATGCTAATCTAGTTCTTGCAATTGCCAATCGGGACCCATTAAGAGCTGCAGAGAGCTATAGGTACTTAAACTTGTCTTATCCACATAATGCTCTCTTATTTGTTGAAAATCAGAACAGAAGTATATACCTTAGCTAATACTGAGTTATAAACTGCACTGCCAGTGCTGCTGGGAATATATAACGAAATAAAGGGATTAATTGATGTAGAATATAAATATGTTTAAGAAATAAGGAGACTGGAGAGGAGAAAAAATAAATTGAGGTAAAATGTTGGAAAAAAATGAAATATCTATATTACTTAATTCTTCATGGTAACAAACAGATTTGATAACTTTCTGTATTTCCTTCATTATACCTTGACAAGATAAATTGGATGTGGTTCTTTTAAAGTGAGATGTAAGAATGCATTTACCCTTAATTTAAACTAAAATATCTCACAAACTTAACCCACTTTAAGTCAAAGGAGGATGCTTCCTTAATTCGTCACTTTAACGGAGCCAAATCAGACAAACCGTTACTTGAATCTCAATTTGTCTAATATCGAAGGTTCTAACCCTGAATGTATATCAAATCGAGATTGGGTCAAACTAGATAGTAAAACACAAATCACAAAGTCTAGTGCCCAAAGTATATGTACCTTGGTATCTTTTCCTAAAGTTGAGTTTTCTTTCCCTTACTTTATCTATCCTATAGATACTAAATTGTTTCACCAGAATGGTTTACTGTTAAAGATGGATTTTTTGAAGGCTTTCAACTTCGTATTTTGATTTGAAACCAGTTACTGCATATGTGCAAATCAAATTATCTGACTGTTTGTTTTACTCTTTTATTTTATAGGGAACTTGGTATAGAAACCTTGAGCAGTTGTGAAAATGGGCTACAAGAATTGTTTAGACTAGCAGAGACAATGTTTGATACAAAATTGCCTCCTGGGGTTGTAATGCTGCAACCTTTCTCAGATGAATCTTCAATTAAAAAAGTTGCTGTACAGGTATGTTATAGAATCCAATTTACTGTTTCCCATTTCCTGTTCAGTGTACACATGGAAAGCTAAAACCCTCAGATTGAGGTGTTAGTTATGGATAAGAGAAAAAGTTAATCCCGGGAGGACTTGGGTAGAAAACAGAAGAAAGAGGATTTTTTTAATGGATTTATATATATGATTTTATTTATTATATTGAGAGAAAGGGAGGGGGGGATCGTGTACAATGATGGAAGTGAGGTTGAAACCTAAGACCTAATGTTTATAACCCCAACCACTAGATCGACCCCAGTGGGTAGGGGGCGTTGAACACAAAGGGAAGAAGCCCAACTTTACCAGAACAAATCTCAGTTTGCTAACTCCCCTCATGACTTCAAATTTCCCAACAATTTAGTATCATATTTTGATTGTTTTGGTTAGTCTGTGTTATGTGTAATGATAATCCGGTACTTTTGAATGTTACAATAACTACAATGTGAAAAGAAGTCTAGTTTCTTTACGTCCGACATTGCTGGTGGAAAACCTCATTATGTGCAGCTGAAAATATGTTGGCACTGAATCAAATTATTAAATAATGTAGTAACTATTGATGCATGTTAATTAATGATATCTCTAGAGATGGCATAAGCAGGTTATAACTTGCTAATATTTTATGCTGCTAATTTTTATTCACTGAATTTTCGTTTCTTTCTGTCTTTTTACGATAGTCCTTTCCAGAAGAACTTTTTTCTGTACTTCGGACAGTGCATCTACTGAGGGGACTTAGCGTTGGACTTGGAATCAATTATTCTTGTGCAGAACAGTGGAGGCCCTTTGCAGAAGAAGCTTTGTCCCAAGCTGGCAGATTAAAAGGTGGCACTATGACCCTTGCTTAAACAGACTTCTGATTATAGATGGAAATAAACCGTTTACATTGATTTAAACTTTTATAATCTCTTGTTGCATTTCAAAATCCCACGCCTTACATGTTTTTGAGTGCTTTCATTCATTGGTCGCTTTTATGTGTCTATTTCATATTAAGATACCTCTCCATCCTACTAAAGCAGCTGCATGTACTTCACTTGATGTTTTCACAGATAAGAGTGGTAAGAGCAGAGGCAGATAAAATAATTTTTGAAGGGATCAAATAGGAAAATCTATCAATCTAGTTCGTTGATTGATTGACTGGTCACTTCTGCGAAGTTGAAGAAAGGTAAATTTAAACTATCCCTCTTATATAAAGTAAACTAGTTTGACATTGATGGCACTCACAGTAAGATTGTGGTGCCTCCTCAAGCAAGTATTCTATTGGAATTTAATGTTTCAGGATTGTACACGTTTCATATAACAGTTGTTACATTGCCATTATTGAAAGATTAAGAGAGCATCAATAGCCTTTCCACTTAACATACTATTTAGTTGGCAATAAGATCTTGTTTTTGTTAAGAAATAAAGGATACGTTGTGTTGTTCAAATATAACTGTAAAGGTGCTTGGCTAAGGAGCAATGCAGAAAATTCACCTGCATGTCCTCTAAATTGGAGTTGAAGAGCCATGAAGCAACAATGTTGTCGTGGAGAAGTCAAAGCAAATGTGTTGTAGATCCAACAACACGTTCTGGAATAAAACTATCTACAGAATCATATTTTTTTCTCATTAAGAAGTATTATTGAAAAGGATGAGAAAAAAGCATTAAACCAGTATTAATGTAGAGAAGATTGAATTCAATCTCATGACAAATCATAGGAGAAAACCAAAAAGTTATTAAAATCAATGTAAAAGAATACTACTAGTGCTACACTAAGTGAGAAAAGTAAAATAACACACACAACAAAATCGTATAGAATATTCGTTTGTGAAAACATTGAGGAAAAACAAAATCGTATAGAATATTCGTTTGTGTAACATATGTATAATAAAATATAATGATAATATAAATAAATTTATATCATAATAATAAAAATTAATAAAATTAACAACAATAAAAAACAAATAATAATATTAATAATAAAAATAAATTTTAAAATATTAATAAATGTTTTATCATATAATGTAGTCATCTTATAATTTCTTCAACTTTTTTATCCTTTATAGCAATTAAATCACTAAAAAAAAAATATTTTCTTACATTTCTCATTATCTTTTAACTTTTTTTTCTCATTATCATTATCGAGTAATCATTCTGAAAAAAATAACAACATATTATTAATCTTGTTTTAAAAAAGTTAATTTTGTAATAATTTTCTAAAACCAACAAGAAATGATTCAATTAGAAAGAAAGAAAAAAGAGAGAAGGAGCGATTAAGTGGCTGATGCCGAACTGTTAAACGATGACGCGTAGGTGGGCTAGGGCCCAGCCCAAAAGAGAGCCGGTACTTGGTTGAGTTCTAGAAAAAGAAGAGTGCGGGGTACGATTCCCGCTCTAATTCCGTAATTCAATACAAAAAGGGCGCCAACAAAAAATCTGCTTTTCTCTCTATTTATGTTTTTCTCTGATCTTTTCGTTTCGGAATACCCGACGCGCACAGAACCGAAGCGAAGATAGCATCACAAATGTTCGGCAGAATTAGGGCATCGACTTCGTCACTGGAAACATTAGAGGGTTCTCCTTCCAAGATTCTCAAAGATGACACCTTCTCCATCTACGGTACACACTCTCTCCCTCTCTCTCTTTCAATTCGCTTAAACAAAATTTAGGTTATTGATTTAATTACGCACTCAACACTGTTTGCGTATGTGGCTTGATAATATCTTTTCGATTCAGAGGCTACTCTCATGAAGCTAAAGATTGGTGCGCGACTCGATACAAGTGAGGTTATAGACGATTCTTCAGTTAGTTCACCTTGTGCTAAAGAAGCAAATCAGCCAGATTTTAATCCAGAGAGCACTTCATGTTCCGAGAAAACGATGATGGATACAGAGTCTGATAACTCTTCTCCCAGGGTTAGTGATATTGTTTCAAGTGGGAACTCGGAACTGCGAAGGCAAGTTAANATTATTTTTTGTTCCATGACCAAGTGTTGTATGTACTATGATGCTTAAATACATCTTATGGTGAAGAATCAATTAACAAATTGTAATACTAAGACAGCTTTGATAAATCTCACTCATTCCACTTTCCACATGTTTGGTTGTGGTCCTGCTTTTCTTGGGGTGTGGGGGGGCGGGGGGGTTGGTGTAAACAAATGTCAGAACCAGATAACAAGGGGATAGTTAAGTTTTCAACGACACATCTTTTTCTGGAAGATTTATAATATAGACGATTTTTATTCATGTAATTTTCGTAAGTGTATTACACTATTAACTTTCTTATAAAAATGCAGGAAAATTCTTCAAAGCTTGACTCTAGCATATGGTCAAATGATTTTAAAAAGTGGATTCTTCCATGCAGATCCTCATCCAGGGAACATCCTGATTTGTAAAGGATCAGAGGCAAGTCATAAAATGTATTTCTTTTCTAATATCTCTTTTTAGTTTTATTTAATCTCTCTTCAGGTGAATCCTACTGTTATTTTAGAGATGTTTTAATCAAGAGGAATTTGATGTGGAAATGACCGTAATAGTGGCTAGAATATTGAAAATTACTTTTCAACATAGATGCATAAACTAAATTTTCTTTGTTTTATTTTTTTAACTTTTAACCATCCTAATGTTAGTGACTTCCCTCAATTCAGGTTGCCTTGCTAGACTACGGGCAGGTGAAGGATCTCCCGGAACAGTTGAGGCTTGGCTATGCTAATCTAGTTCTTGCAATTGCCAATCGGGACCCATTAAGAGCTGCAGAGAGCTATAGGTACTTAAACTTGTCTTATCCACATAATGCTCTCTTATTTGTTGAAAATCAGAACAGAAGTATATACCTTAGCTAATACTGAGTTATAAACTGCACTGCCAGTGCTGCTGGGAATATATAACGAAATAAAGGGATTAATTGATGTAGAATATAAATATGTTTAAGAAATAAGGAGACTGGAGAGGAGAAAAAATAAATTGAGGTAAATTGTTGGAAAAAAATGAAATATCTATATTACTTAATTCTTCATGGTAACAAACAGATTTGATAACTTTCTGTATTTCCTTCATTATACCTTGACAAGATAAATTGGATGTGGTTCTTTTAAAGTGAGATGTAAGAATGCATTTACCCTTAATTTAAACTAAAATATCTCACAAACTTAACCCACTTTAAGTCAAAGGAGGATGCTTCCTTAATTCGTCACTTTAACGGAGCCAAATCAGACAAACCGTTACTTGAATCTCAATTTGTCTAATATCGAAGGTTCTAACCCTGAATGTATATCAAATCGAGATTGGGTCAAACTAGATAGTAAAACACAAATCACAAAGTCTAGTGCCCAAAGTATATGTACCTTGGTATCTTTTCCTAAAGTTGAGTTTTCTTTCCCTTACTTTATCTATCCTATAGATACTAAATTGTTTCACCAGAATGGTTTACTGTTTAAGATGGATTTTTTGAAGGCTTTCAACTTCGTATTTTGATTTGAAACCAGTTACTGCATATGTGCAAATCAAATTATCTGACTGTTTGTTTTACTCTTTTATTTTATAGGGAACTTGGTATAGAAACCTTGAGCAGTTGTGAAAATGGGCTACAAGAATTGTTTAGACTAGCAGAGACAATGTTTGATACAAAATTGCCTCCTGGGGTTGTAATGCTGCAACCTTTCTCAGATGAATCTTCAATTAAAAAAGTTGCTGTACAGGTATGTTATAGAATCCAATTTACTGTTTCCCATTTCCTGTTCAGTGTACACATGGAAAGCTAAAACCCTCAGATTGAGGTGTTAGTTATGGATAAGAGAAAAAGTTAATCCCGGGAGGACTTGGGTAGAAAACAGAAGAAAGAGGATTTTTTTAATGGATTTATATATATGATTTTATTTATTATATTGAGAGAAAGGGAGGGGGGGATCGTGTACAATGATGGAAGTGAGGTTGAAACCTAAGACCTAATGTTTATAACCCCAACCACTAGATCGACCCCAGTGGGTAGGGGGCGTTGAACACAAAGGGAAGAAGCCCAACTTTACCAGAACAAATCTCAGTTTGCTAACTCCCCTCATGACTTCAAATTTCCCAACAATTTAGTATCATATTTTGATTGTTTTGGTTAGTCTGTGTTATGTGTAATGATAATCCGGTACTTTTGAATGTTACAATAACTACAATGTGAAAAGAAGTCTAGTTTCTTTACGTCCGACATTGCTGGTGGAAAACCTCATTATGTGCAGCTGAAAATATGTTGGCACTGAATCAAATTATTAAATAATGTAGTAACTATTGATGCATGTTAATTAATGATATCTCTAGAGATGGCATAAGCAGGTTATAACTTGCTAATATTTTATGCTGCTAATTTTTATTCACTGAATTTTCGTTTCTTTCTGTCTTTTTACGATAGTCCTTTCCAGAAGAACTTTTTTCTGTACTTCGGACAGTGCATCTACTGAGGGGACTTAGCGTTGGACTTGGAATCAATTATTCTTGTGCAGAACAGTGGAGGCCCTTTGCAGAAGAAGCTTTGTCCCAAGCTGGCAGATTAAAAGGTGGCACTATGACCCTTGCTTAAACAGACTTCTGATTATAGATGGAAATAAACCGTTTACATTGATTTAAACTTTTATAATCTCTTGTTGCATTTCAAAATCCCACGCCTTACATGTTTTTGAGTGCTTTCATTCATTGGTCGCTTTTATGTGTCTATTTCATATTAAGATACCTCTCCATCCTACTAAAGCAGCTGCATGTACTTCACTTGATGTTTTCACAGATAAGAGTGGTAAGAGCAGAGGCAGATAAAATAATTTTTGAAGGGATCAAATAGGAAAATCTATCAATCTAGTTCGTTGATTGATTGACTGGTCACTTCTGCGAAGTTGAAGAAAGGTAAATTTAAACTATCCCTCTTATATAAAGTAAACTAGTTTGACATTGATGGCACTCACAGTAAGATTGTGGTGCCTCCTCAAGCAAGTATTCTATTGGAATTTAATGTTTCAGGATTGTACACGTTTCATATAACAGTTGTTACATTGCCATTATTGAAAGATTAAGAGAGCATCAATAGCCTTTCCACTTAACATACTATTTAGGTGGCAATAAGATCTTGTTTTTGTTAAGAAATAAAGGATACGTTGTGTTGTTCAAATATAACTGTAAAGGTGCTTGGCTAAGGAGCAATGCAGAAAATTCACCTGCATGTCCTCTAAATTGGAGTTGAAGAGCCATGAAGCAACAATGTTGTCGTGGAGAAGTCAAAGCAAATGTGTTGTAGATCCAACAACACGTTCTGGAATAAAACTATCTACAGAATCATATTTTTTTCTCATTAAGAAGTATTATTGAAAAGGATGAGAAAAAAGCATTAAACCAGTATTAATGTAGAGAAGATTGAATTCAATCTCATGACAAATCATAGGAGAAAACCAAAAAGTTATTAAAATCAATGTAAAAGAATACTACTAGTGCTACACTAAGTGAGAAAAGTAAAAAAACACACACAACAAAATCGTATAGAATATTCGTTTGTGAAAACATTGAGGAAAAACAAAATCGTATAGAATATTCGTTTGTGTAACATATGTATAATAAAATATAATGATAATATAAATAAATTTATATCATAATAATAAAAATTAATAAAATTAACAACAATAAAAAACAAATAATAATATTAATAATAAAAATAAATTTTAAAATATTAATAAATGTTTTATCATATAATGTAGTCATCTTATAATTTCTTCAACTTTTTTATCCTTTATAGCAATTAAATCACTAAAAAAAAANAAGTTTTCAACGACACATCTTTTTCTGGAAGATTTATAATATAGACGATTTTTATTCATGTAATTTTCGTAAGTGTATTACACTATTAACTTTCTTATAAAAATGCAGGAAAATTCTTCAAAGCTTGACTCTAGCATATGGTCAAATGATTTTAAAAAGTGGATTCTTCCATGCAGATCCTCATCCAGGGAACATCCTGATTTGTAAAGGATCAGAGGCAAGTCATAAAATGTATTTCTTTTCTAATATCTCTTTTTAGTTTTATTTAATCTCTCTTCAGGTGAATCCTACTGTTATTTTAGAGATGTTTTAATCAAGAGGAATTTGATGTGGAAATGACCGTAATAGTGGCTAGAATATTGAAAATTACTTTTCAACATAGATGCATAAACTAAATTTTCTTTGTTTTATTTTTTTAACTTTTAACCATCCTAATGTTAGTGACTTCCCTCAATTCAGGTTGCCTTGCTAGACTACGGGCAGGTGAAGGATCTCCCGGAACAGTTGAGGCTTGGCTATGCTAATCTAGTTCTTGCAATTGCCAATCGGGACCCATTAAGAGCTGCAGAGAGCTATAGGTACTTAAACTTGTCTTATCCACATAATGCTCTCTTATTTGTTGAAAATCAGAACAGAAGTATATACCTTAGCTAATACTGAGTTATAAACTGCACTGCCAGTGCTGCTGGGAATATATAACGAAATAAAGGGATTAATTGATGTAGAATATAAATATGTTTAAGAAATAAGGAGACTGGAGAGGAGAAAAAATAAATTGAGGTAAAATGTTGGAAAAAAATGAAATATCTATATTACTTAATTCTTCATGGTAACAAACAGATTTGATAACTTTCTGTATTTCCTTCATTATACCTTGACAAGATAAATTGGATGTGGTTCTTTTAAAGTGAGATGTAAGAATGCATTTACCCTTAATTTAAACTAAAATATCTCACAAACTTAACCCACTTTAAGTCAAAGGAGGATGCTTCCTTAATTCGTCACTTTAACGGAGCCAAATCAGACAAACCGTTACTTGAATCTCAATTTGTCTAATATCGAAGGTTCTAACCCTGAATGTATATCAAATCGAGATTGGGTCAAACTAGATAGTAAAACACAAATCACAAAGTCTAGTGCCCAAAGTATATGTACCTTGGTATCTTTTCCTAAAGTTGAGTTTTCTTTCCCTTACTTTATCTATCCTATAGATACTAAATTGTTTCACCAGAATGGTTTACTGTTAAAGATGGATTTTTTGAAGGCTTTCAACTTCGTATTTTGATTTGAAACCAGTTACTGCATATGTGCAAATCAAATTATCTGACTGTTTGTTTTACTCTTTTATTTTATAGGGAACTTGGTATAGAAACCTTGAGCAGTTGTGAAAATGGGCTACAAGAATTGTTTAGACTAGCAGAGACAATGTTTGATACAAAATTGCCTCCTGGGGTTGTAATGCTGCAACCTTTCTCAGATGAATCTTCAATTAAAAAAGTTGCTGTACAGGTATGTTATAGAATCCAATTTACTGTTTCCCATTTCCTGTTCAGTGTACACATGGAAAGCTAAAACCCTCAGATTGAGGTGTTAGTTATGGATAAGAGAAAAAGTTAATCCCGGGAGGACTTGGGTAGAAAACAGAAGAAAGAGGATTTTTTTAATGGATTTATATATATGATTTTATTTATTATATTGAGAGAAAGGGAGGGGGGGATCGTGTACAATGATGGAAGTGAGGTTGAAACCTAAGACCTAATGTTTATAACCCCAACCACTAGATCGACCCCAGTGGGTAGGGGGCGTTGAACACAAAGGGAAGAAGCCCAACTTTACCAGAACAAATCTCAGTTTGCTAACTCCCCTCATGACTTCAAATTTCCCAACAATTTAGTATCATATTTTGATTGTTTTGGTTAGTCTGTGTTATGTGTAATGATAATCCGGTACTTTTGAATGTTACAATAACTACAATGTGAAAAGAAGTCTAGTTTCTTTACGTCCGACATTGCTGGTGGAAAACCTCATTATGTGCAGCTGAAAATATGTTGGCACTGAATCAAATTATTAAATAATGTAGTAACTATTGATGCATGTTAATTAATGATATCTCTAGAGATGGCATAAGCAGGTTATAACTTGCTAATATTTTATGCTGCTAATTTTTATTCACTGAATTTTCGTTTCTTTCTGTCTTTTTACGATAGTCCTTTCCAGAAGAACTTTTTTCTGTACTTCGGACAGTGCATCTACTGAGGGGACTTAGCGTTGGACTTGGAATCAATTATTCTTGTGCAGAACAGTGGAGGCCCTTTGCAGAAGAAGCTTTGTCCCAAGCTGGCAGATTAAAAGGTGGCACTATGACCCTTGCTTAAACAGACTTCTGATTATAGATGGAAATAAACCGTTTACATTGATTTAAACTTTTATAATCTCTTGTTGCATTTCAAAATCCCACGCCTTACATGTTTTTGAGTGCTTTCATTCATTGGTCGCTTTTATGTGTCTATTTCATATTAAGATACCTCTCCATCCTACTAAAGCAGCTGCATGTACTTCACTTGATGTTTTCACAGATAAGAGTGGTAAGAGCAGAGGCAGATAAAATAATTTTTGAAGGGATCAAATAGGAAAATCTATCAATCTAGTTCGTTGATTGATTGACTGGTCACTTCTGCGAAGTTGAAGAAAGGTAAATTTAAACTATCCCTCTTATATAAAGTAAACTAGTTTGACATTGATGGCACTCACAGTAAGATTGTGGTGCCTCCTCAAGCAAGTATTCTATTGGAATTTAATGTTTCAGGATTGTACACGTTTCATATAACAGTTGTTACATTGCCATTATTGAAAGATTAAGAGAGCATCAATAGCCTTTCCACTTAACATACTATTTAGGTGGCAATAAGATCTTGTTTTTGTTAAGAAATAAAGGATACGTTGTGTTGTTCAAATATAACTGTAAAGGTGCTTGGCTAAGGAGCAATGCAGAAAATTCACCTGCATGTCCTCTAAATTGGAGTTGAAGAGCCATGAAGCAACAATGTTGTCGTGGAGAAGTCAAAGCAAATGTGTTGTAGATCCAACAACACGTTCTGGAATAAAACTATCTACAGAATCATATTTTTTTCTCATTAAGAAGTATTATTGAAAAGGATGAGAAAAAAGCATTAAACCAGTATTAATGTAGAGAAGATTGAATTCAATCTCATGACAAATCATAGGAGAAAACCAAAAAGTTATTAAAATCAATGTAAAAGAATACTACTAGTGCTACACTAAGTGAGAAAAGTAAAAGAACACACACAACAAAATCGTATAGAATATTCGTTTGTGAAAACATTGAGGAAAAACAAAATCGTATAGAATATTCGTTTGTGTAACATATGTATAATAAAATATAATGATAATATAAATAAATTTATATCATAATAATAAAAATTAATAAAATTAACAACAATAAAAAACAAATAATAATATTAATAATAAAAATAAATTTTAAAATATTAATAAATGTTTTATCATATAATGTAGTCATCTTATAATTTCTTCAACTTTTTTATCCTTTATAGCAATTAAATCACTAAAAAAAAATATTTTCTTACATTTCTCATTATCTTTTAACTTTTTTTTCTCATTATCATTATCGAGTAATCATTCTGAAAAAAATAACAACATATTATTAATCTTGTTTTAAAAAAGTTAATTTTGTAATAATTTTCTAAAACCAACAAGAAATGATTCAATTAGAAAGAAAGAAAAAAGAGAGAAGGAGCGATTAAGTGGCTGATGCCGAACTGTTAAACGATGACGCGTAGGTGGGCTAGGGCCCAGCCCAAAAGAGAGCCGGTACTTGGTTGAGTTCTAGAAAAAGAAGAGTGCGGGGTACGATTCCCGCTCTAATTCCGTAATTCAATACAAAAAGGGCGCCAACAAAAAATCTGCTTTTCTCTCTATTTATGTTTTTCTCTGATCTTTTCGTTTCGGAATACCCGACGCGCACAGAACCGAAGCGAAGATAGCATCACAAATGTTCGGCAGAATGAGGGCATCGACTTCGTCACTGGAAACATTAGAGGGTTCTCCTTCCAAGATTCTCAAAGATGACACCTTCTCCATCTACGGTACACACTCTCTCCCTCTCTCTCTTTCAATTCGCTTAAACAAAATTTAGGTTATTGATTTAATTACGCACTCAACACTGTTTGCGTATGTGGCTTGATAATATCTTTTCGATTCAGAGGCTACTCTCATGAAGCTAAAGATTGGTGCGCGACTCGATACAAGTGAGGTTATAGACGATTCTTCAGTTAGTTCACCTTGTGCTAAAGAAGCAAATCAGCCAGATTTTAATCCAGAGAGCACTTCATGTTCCGAGAAAACGATGATGGATACAGAGTCTGATAACTCTTCTCCCAGGGTTAGTGATATTGTTTCAAGTGGGAACTCGGAACTGCGAAGGCAAGTTAATCTTACCATTCTAGATTTCTTTAGAGTGGTGAATACCGGACATGCGGATGTTTCATCTTCTGCAAAGACAACAACTTCATCGGAGAATGGAAGTTCTGAATGTATCTCGTCAACTTCTGTTGATTATGATTGCAGAAATGAAGTGGTCGGTGTCCAAATTTTGCAAGATTGTGAAATGTCGGATTAGAGTTGTATTTATCATGACCTGGAAGCAATGAAGTGAGCAACACAAATATGTATACCTGCCACTGTTCCATGCTAATTATTTCCAGCTGTTGTATTATATCCCATTCTTCTGTTTACATTCAGGTGTGGACCAGTTTTGTTTCAAGTATAAATGCTAGTTAAAATCTTTTGCCTGTTGCAGTCATTATTCTTGTTCACTGGTTCGACTCACTTTCAGGAGCAAATTTCACTAGATGGTAGATTTTCTATTATTCTTCAATCACATCACCCGTTTAAATCTGACATGACAGAAAAAGAAAATGGCATGGGCTAGACGAATCCGAGTCTAGCAAAATCTAACAAAATTTAAGCAACTGTTCAAACAAGAAAATTAATGTAGTTCTACATTTGAGGCCGAAAACAATTGATACATTATTGAAACTAGAAATGGCATGAATATTGGAACTGGAAATCTGTGATTCATTATTCTCTCAGCCACGGTGCTTGAACGGGGGTCCAATCGCATAATTCGCCTTCCTTGAACCATAGAGCTGAAATACATGGAAACTACAGTTAATCAAGAATCACAAATTCCCCAAACTATTTAAATATTATTTCTAAAAACGATGGTTCTGGCTACTAACATCAGATATTAGTGCCCATACCTACAATTGTTGTTTAAAGAATAATTTGGGAGAAGTCAACAAAACATTCACTCTCTTTAAATAAACCAGATTAATTGGTTTGCAAGACATTTTCCAAATGATTAAAACCTTAATAACATATATGGTAGGTCTAAGGCAGCATTTGATTTATTGGCGAACTTGGTAGAAATTCAGAACAACGGGTTCAATTATTGCATAGATTTTGATCTAATAATGTATTCAATATGCATACAATTGTCTGTAGTTAGGCTAAGCTAACAACTAGAAATATATCATGATTCTACAGTGAACTCTCAAACATTTACAAGTTTACAAGCACAGGGCACAAATAAGTTAAATTGTGTGTGCACTAATTGAAGTTACAAAATTGGATTAATCCATGGTTTCAACCTCATTACACAGTTTTGGACAATGATCTTGCATACTCGGCTCGAATTACTATGCTCTGCAACATATATTGAGATTATAATGCTAATTTGAAGTTTTCAGCGTTTTCTTTTTCCTGTTTTGTTCACTACATAATAATCAAGTGCTGGGCTAAGCACAATATTGCAGTTAGGCCAAAGAATTATGTTTCATATTTTAATACCTTAAATTGCTTTCTTTTGAAGTTGGAATGTTGGATATCAGTTAGGGTGCTATTATTTCATGTTTGGATCCTGTTATATATTTTCTAAATGATTATTTTGTAAGTGTTTGCAATTCAAGCTTATGATTTGAGTTTGCTAGAGTTCCATGACTTTACCTAAATTTTCAATTTAAACAACCTAGTTGGTGGATAATACCACAAAATCACTCCTACAATCACTACTCTTGAAAGATACGGCTTGCTGTCATAAAGATTCTACTTTTTTAACCATATGCAGTCCGTAATGTAATCCTTTTACCATTCCGTGGTAAGGCACTTCAATAAAAATATCATTATATTTTTGCAAAGTTCGGGTTCAAAGGGCTATTCCCACAAAAATGTTCCTTAAAAGCCAAACTTGTCTCCAAAGCAATTTAAAAAAGCCTTTTTGTATATCCATAACACTTCAGCACCCTTCTAATGTTCAAATCAATGGCTAATTTTTCTGTTTTCTTTCACAAGATGAGAGGCCTTACCTATTTCACGCTTGCCATTTTCGGGACTGTCACTGCCATGAATTACATTCCTGCCAATTCCAACATAATAATCTTATCACTCCTGAATCTTGATAGTCAAGTCAACAAGGAACACGCAAGCTCTACAGCCTACCTTGATTCTTGAAGGAGTGAAGAATCTCAAAAGTGAAAGTTGGATGCAAAAGATTAAAGGCCTTACCTTCCTGTTTGAACAGCAAGGTCTCCTCTTATTGTTCCTGGTTCAGCTTGAAGAGGATCAGTAGCCCCTATAAGCTTACGTGCGGATGCCACTACTCCAACACCCTCCCAAGCCTTGCAAACATGGCAAAACGATAAAACAAATTCAGCAAGTTCATTAAAAAATGTAGGTGAATTTGGGGTTCTGCTGGATTGGGTTTATACCATACAAACAACAGGACCAGAAGTAATATAGTCAATGAGCTTGGGGAAGAATGACTTTTGGTTTAGGTCCTTGTAATGCTCCTGGAACCATAAACAGTCACCATAAGCCTTATAAACACAATAAGCACATTAAAACAGACAAACACGATAGAATCAATATTACTGCAAACACAAGATGTATGTCCATCATATGGTCGAGTATACAATCATTTAAATATGGATGTATCGGGTTATCTAATTGAATGGATGGAACCAGTTTTTCAAGCACTCCATATTGTTGTAGTTCATGCAACTACAATCAAATCAAATATACTGCGTTAACAATTATTAGGAAAGTATTTTATTGTTTAATTTTCTATTGGAATTGTATACGGAAAAATGTGAGTCTAATATACCTTTCAAATGATATCACACTTAGAATGTATCACAATATATTTGGTGTATCTTGAAATGCCTCGGAAGATCTTTTTGATACATTTTATCTTCTTATTGTAAAAGCAGTACTCTCATTTATTTTTCCTTGTTTAATTAGGGAAAAACAATCATCTTTATTGTCCCATTGTGTTCCCCAATGAAGGTACTTCTTCTGGCATGCACCTCTACAAGAGCACATCTCCTATTGCATGCATTACGGAACATGGAGTTGTTTTTGTGTTAATTTATAACAACCTAAAGTTTATAGAAGTGTTACTATTATGTCCTCTGTGTGCCTTTGAATATCATAGAAGATCTTCGGAATATTTTGTGGAATCATTTAGTTCTCTAACAAAGGAAAGGATTTCCTTATTTAATTACAGTTAATTGTATCATCAATTTGAGTACGACTATCGATTCAATACTTTGTATCATTTCATAGTCATAATTATAATCCATGTCAGTTTGATAGAATATCATTGAGCCTTCTATCTCTCCTTTCCTCCTTTCCTACTTGCACCCTATAATCCCAACAATAGAAAAGAAAAAAAAAACCAATGCACTCAACACATGACATTTACACAAACAAGTACAAACCTCAGCTAACTCTTTAGAGCACTGGAAGAGCTTCAAGCCAGTCAACTTAAACCCCTTCTTCTCAAACCTAGAAATAATTTCTCCGACCTATACCAGTTCAACACAACAAGAAAATTCAGCATTGTGAACAGGGAGCCATAAACAACATTATTCCAAAACACCAATGACCTAAATATAAGCAATATAAAAAACATACAAAAAATTACAAGCTCATTTTCCCCCTTTATTCCTGAAACCAGAAGAAATGAAATTGCAAATAAGAAATCAGGAAGCTTACGAGGCCACGTTGCACGCCGTCGGGCTTCACCATTATGTAAGTCTGGTCAACTTGCTGCTGCACAATAGAACAACTAACAATTAAAGACAGGTTCTGATAAAATAGAGTTAGAAAATTGAAATCGTTGAGAGAGAGAGAGAGAGAGAGAGAGAGAGAGAGAGAGAGAGTGGAAACCAGAGATGCAACTAAGTGGGGAAGGAAAATAGCGGGTTTGGTGGTGGTTCTGGCGCGGAGGGTTTTAGCATAGGGCGGAGGGTGATAGGAGAATAGATGGGATTGTGAAGGAAACGGTGTTAGGTATTGGTAACTGACTCGGAATTGAGGAACAGTGCTTCTGGTAATCGTTGATGAGCGCGGAAGAGATGAGACGCAAACCCCACTTCCACACACAACTTCCATCTTCGTCTGCGCCTCACCTCACAAACAGACAAAACTACGGCTAAGAACACAGTTCCACACACAATGGTAATAAAATCCTTCCAATGAAGAAAAAAATAAAATGAATTCCCCTGAAACATTTATTTTTATTTATTGTTGTAAGTATGATAGTTATATTTATATCATCTATTTATTCAATCATGTCTTATTAATTGATAATAATGTTATATTTGAAGTTTTTTTTTATCATGTAACTATCACCAACATAACAAATATTCTTAAACTTCTAAAAGAATTAAAAATAATAATATTTTTATAAAATAAAAGATAACACTGTTATAATTTATATACATTCTCATTCTTTATCCATTAAATTTTATATATTATCGAATTTTTATTAAATCAAAATATATTATTTACATAAAAGGGAAAGCTATTTATAATAGTAAATATATTAATAAATTTTGATTAGGAAAAAGGTCATTATATAATAATGACTTATATTTTATGTTAAAACACAATAGAGATTAATCTCATGTATAGTTTTTTTGTTATATTCAACATGGTATTTAGAGCATAAGATCTTTTATTCGTTGGTCTTGCCATTACAACCGTTGTCGTCGCTAGAGTCGTCGTCGCCTGTGTTAGATTATTTATCGTTGCTATTTCCGTCACTAAAGTATTAGTTTCAATCGGTGACAACAATTTTTCTCATTTCGACCAAGTAACCACAACGTCGTCAAGATCGCTATCATCAAAATCGAGACATACTTTCACGCAATGATAACGATTTTTAATTTTGGTGGGTGAAGTAAGTAGAGATGTTAAGTCGGTAATTTGATATTTCAAATCTCTTTCATTTTTTCTTTTTAAACTGTAATGAGATATATATTTTTTATATAAATAAAAAATATAATTTATATACTAATAATAATTTAAATTTAAACATAAATGTTTTATTTTTTAAACTTTAATTTAATTTGGATGTTGATAAAAGAGTTTATGATAATAAATTATTATATTATATAAATAAAATATTTTTACACAATGTGATATTATTATAATTATAATAACAAGTGAAAAATATAAGTATAGAAAACAAATTGTTGCATATTTTATATAATAAAACTAAATAATTTAGAGTATAATAAGAAGAAAAATATTTGAATATAAGATTTAGAAAATCTTAAGAAGATTTTTTTTCTAGTTTTATTTTTAATTTACAAGANCCATTAAATTTTATATATTATCGAATTTTTATTAAATCAAAATATATTATTTACATAAAAGGGAAAGCTATTTATAATAGTAAATATATTAATAAATTTTGATTAGGAAAAAGGTCATTATATAATAATGACTTATATTTTATGTTAAAACACAATAGAGATTAATCTCATGTATAGTTTTTTTGTTATATTCAACATGGTATTTAGAGCATAAGATCTTTTATTCGTTGGTCTTGCCATTACAACCGTTGTCGTCGCTAGAGTCGTCGTCGCCTGTGTTAGATTATTTATCGTTGCTATTTCCGTCACTAAAGTATTAGTTTCAATCGGTGACAACAATTTTTCTCATTTCGACCAAGTAACCACAACGTCGTCAAGATCGCTATCATCAAAATCGAGACATACTTTCACGCAATGATAACGATTTTTAATTTTTGTGGGTGAAGTAAGTAGAGATGTTAAGTCGGTAATTTGATATTTCAAATCTCTTTCATTTTTTCTTTTTAAACTGTAATGAGATATATATTTTTTATATAAATAAAAAATATAATTTATATACTAATAATAATTTAAATTTAAACATAAATGTTTTATTTTTTAAACTTTAATTTAATTTGGATGTTGATAAAAGAGTTTATGATAATAAATTATTATATTATATAAATAAAATATTTTTACACAATGTGATATTATTATAATTATAATAACAAGTGAAAAATATAAGTATAGAAAACAAATTGTTGCATATTTTATATAATAAAACTAAATAATTTAGAGTATAATAAGAAGAAAAATATTTGAATATAAGATTTAGAAAATCTTAAGAAGATTTTTTTTCTAGTTTTATTTTTAATTTACAAGATAACATATTTTAACTAATAATTATATAAATAACACGATTTTGTAAAAGCTTAAAATTCAGTTTCGAGAAATCGAATTTTGATATTCAAAATTTTCCGTAAATTATTTTGCAAAAATATATATTAAAAATCTTCTAACAGTTTTCAAAAACCGTGTTTTCAGTTCAAAGCTTAAACGGTTTTCGAAAATTATTAAAGACTTAAACAGTTTTCGAAAAAGATATATTTAAAATTTTGCTTTTAGTTTAAAATTAATAAATAATTAATTTCTTTTAATATTATTAATAGATTGTACTATATTAAATCAAATTTTACATTATTATTATTAATATTATTATATTTATTTTCATTTTTAGTTTTATTATTATTATTTTCATAATAATTATTAAGATAATAACTTATATTAAATTATATTAAAAAAATTAAATATTTTCTAAATTTTTATAATAAAATTAATTTAAAAAATTGATAAATTCAAAAATATTATATTAAAATATTAAAATAAGTTAATTATTAATTAAAATTTAAATCAAAAAACAAAATTTTAAAAAATATGTTAAACTTCAAAAACCGTTTAACATATGTTAAAATTATTTTTAAATTAAAATTAATAAACTATTAATTTAATAATATTTATAAAAATAATAAAATATATTATATTTCATCAAAATAAACTAAACATTTTTTAAATTTTATAATAAAAGTAATTTCAAAAGTTTGTTAAATTAAAATGAAATTATTAAAATATTATAGTAAATTAATTATTTATTAAATTTTAAGTTAAAAAACAGAATTTAAAAATATGTTAAACAGTTAATTTTTAAAAAATATATTAAAATATAAATTTTTGACGTCAATGTCGAGAAATAGCAATTTATGACAAAGTCACTTTTTTTTCTTTTAAGGTCATACATCTCCTGATATAATGTTGATGTTTTTTTT